TGGCAAGACGTGGATAAAACGTTCAAATATATAGAGAAGGAATTGGCCATTATAGATGAATGTCTAGTGCGAGGGAGTCGGAGTGTTATACCGTTCAAGTTAAGGGAAGCCGTGATGGCAATGATTCATGCGGGGCATCAAGGAATGGAGAGAATGAAACAGTGGGAACGGGAGTATGTTTGGTGGCCAGGAATGAACAAAGACATTGAAAACATCAGTCGAGCTTGTGTGAGGTGTAATTCATGAGCTCCTATGCCTAGAAGGGACAGAGAAAGTGTATGGCCGAAAGCTACCCAGCCTTGGGACCGCATTCACTTGGATTTCTTTGATTTCGAAAATAAGATATATATTGGTGGTAGATACTTTTTCGAAATGGGTAGAGTATGAGGAAGTGAAAGGGTTAACCACTAAAGTAGTCGTAAAAGTGTTGAAAAATTTATGGGCTAAATTTGGGGTCGCTAAGACAGTGGTGTCAGATGGGGGTCCGGCATTTATAAGTAACCAATTTAAAGTATTTTGTGCGGAAACGGGAGCGAAGCACGTTTTAACGCTGCCGTACCACCCAAGTTCCAATGGACAGGCGGAAAGGATGGTAGCGGTCGTAAAGAATTGGTTAAGAAAATCGAAGGATGTGGGCGGAGAGATATGGGTAGCTGTGGCGTATTATAACAACAGTAAAAAAGGAGATGAGCCGTCACCGGCGGAAATGTTTTTAGGACGGAGAACGCGAATTTGGTTGGATTCATTGAGGCCGGTGAATCAAGAAAATGAACGAGTAGATACGGGAAATGAAGCGGAATTTACGATGGGGCAAGCGGTATGGGCAAGAATATTTGGAAATAAAAAGAAATGGGAGCCCGGGGTGATTGTGGAAAATATGGGAGACCACGTAAATAAAGTCGAATTTGCTGACGGGAGAGAGGGAGTTAGGCACAGGGATCAACTACGGAGACGGATCGATCCCGAAACCTTGAGAGGAAAGATCTGTAAAGGAGCAAGAGTCCAAGGAGACAAGAGGGAGGGAAATGTATAAAAGGGGGAAAAACCAGAATACGTATATATGCATATATTATGGTTAAAGTATAGAGTGTGTTTAAAAAAAGAAAAAAATATATATATATAAATTATGGGGCAAGAAGGAGCCATTAAGCGGTAGTTCTCCTTTCAATAGTTTGATAAGCGTTTCAATGGATATATGGAATGATGGAATAAATAAAAAATATAATAATAGAAAAAAAAATAAATAAGAAAATAGGAAGTGTATATATGTAAGAATAGGAAAATATATAGGGAATTCGTGGGGTGAGAATGAGTCTATTAAGCGGTAGTTTACCTTTCAATATTTCAATAAGATTATCAATGGGTATATTTAATTAAGGAATATAGGAAAAGGAAAGATAATAGTAAGTGTATATAGGGGAAAAGAATAGGGAAAATATATATAGGTAAATTGGGGGGTAGGGAGGACCCCATTAAGTGTCATATAGGGTTTTTGGGATTGGAAGTTGTCGAAAGATTGGTTTTTTTTGGTCTGTGGTATTTAATTTGGGTAGTAGGAAGATAAGCAGCGAAAAAAAAAAAGGTCTCCGTTGAGAAAGAAAGTTTTTGTGTTGCTTATTAAATAATTTTAATTTTAACAAGGTTATAGTGTGAATAATAATTTGGGGTAGTGGAGAAAAATAATTGAAATGGGTTTGAGATTTTTAAAACAGGTGCAGAAGGAAAAAGTTAAAGAATTTTTATAGTAAAATAAAGTTGGCAGTCGTTTCGAATTAAATACAAAATGTGTGAATAAAAAAAAAGGAATTATATAAATTTGGCAAGATAAGTAAGTAATTAATTAGGAAAGGGGGGAGGGAAAAGTTGTCAAAAGAGTGAATTTAGTTGGGTAATAAATCGTAAAGTGAGAAATAGTATATAATTAGATTGATGTTAAGGAAAGAACGTGACAGTGAAATTTATGATGATAAAATATATCATTTTAATTAAGGCTTGTAAAAGCGGAGATTCTGCAAATTTAGGTAAAATAATTTTTCATGTATGTAAATTGTATATTGGGTCTGTAAAATCAGAGATTAGGGAATTAAGGTAAAAAATTTTTTGAGGTAGTTAAAAGGGAATATTTTTGTTGAGTTTTGTTTGTTTAAAAAAAAAAAAATTTTTTTATGAAAGAGTTTAAATTTACGTAAATAAAAAGGGGGAGAGCGTAGTGTTTTTTTAAAAAAAAAATATTATTAAGTAATTAGTAAAAAAAAAGGGAGAGCGTAGTTTTTTTTTTTTAAAAAGAAAAAAAATATTAGTAAAAATAAAAATATATATATAAAGGTTGTAATAAAAGAAAAGGGGGAGGTAAGTAAAGGGCCAGAGATAAAATGGATGTTTGTTTAAATAATGTATAAAATTAATTGTGTTAGGGCAAAGTAAGAGGAAGTGAGAGAGTTAGAAGGGGAAGAGTGAGGGCAATAAATATTATGTTATAATATACCTAAAAGGAAAAAGAATAGCTGACATGAGACGGAGTTGGATATTTGAGGATTACGAAGTACATCTAATTATAATTCCCAGGTGCGCGGGATTACAGGGATTTGTTCAGTGGAGAGAACGACAACACTGGAGAAATGAAAGAAGGCGATTCCCGTGGAGGGAGCAGGAGGCATGGAGGGGACAAGGAACGAGATCGGGGAACGACATAAGGAATGTTCGGCGGATGCAGGTGGATCTGAGACGGTGCTACAATTGCGGAGAGCTAGGGTACCTACGAGCTCAGTGTGCGCGTAGCGGAAGGAGATCGAGAAGAACACGGACATCGAGAAGAGTACGGATGAGGAGATCTGAACTCGCGGGGGAAATTACAGCGGGTCAAAGGGAAGAACCGTATGGGAGTTTGGAGAAGCAGGTGGAGTCGAGGATGGAGGAACATCGGGTGGCAAGTGTGCAAACGACGCGTGACCGATGATCTGACTTCGGAGAAGAGGAGAGTGCAGAGGGGTGGAGGTTAACGGAGAACAGGAACAACTGGCGCTGGAGCAGATGAGGGGAGCGGTGGTGGAAACCGTACAAGATCCGGATGAAACCATGGCGTGGGAGGAGCTCATGCGGCTGGGAGAGATCGGAGTAGGAGAAAGAAATGGAATGACCATGGAGGACTGGGAGCTGGATCACCTGTTGGAGTTCATCCTGTCGGAGGATGAGGATGACGTCGACTCTGGTTTCATGTAGAGGGAGAGGTCTGATGTGGGGCGATATTAAGTTATAATGTGGTCATTAGAAGGAGTTATTATAGTTGGTTATTTTAAAATAGGATTAGTATAATTTAATATATGATTGTTATTATTATTCTTTCAATTTAGATATTATATTATTTCGCGAATAGATTATTATTAGACTTTGACGGAATATTATTATTATTATTGTTATTATTATTCTTTTAATTTCGATATTATATTATTTCGCGAATAGATTATTAATAGACTTTGATGGCATATTATTATTATTGTTATTTATTATTATTTTTTTAAATTTTGTGTAATGAATATAAAGAAGAAAAAAATAATAAAAAGTTAGTTATCGGGTTTTTGAAAATTTTTTCGTTGTTGATTTTTGGAAGAATTGGTTGTTAATTTTTTTTGTTGTTTTGGAGAAATTTAGTTATTAAAAAAGAAAAGATTGGAGTATGTTTTAAAAAAAAAGAAGAATTTCAAGTAAGACAAAAATACAATAAATATATTTGTTTGTAAAGATTAAAATAAAAATAAAATAAATGCAACCGAACCATTTCATCAGAACTATTTCTATTACAAGTAGAAATATAAAATTTCATATTATTTATCCCACAATGTCTTTAAAAGATATTTTCTGATATCCTTATCAATATTTTATAGTTTTCTGTAAAATATATAATTCGCTATATTGGTAAAATATACTTGATTGTCATATTATAATTGATAAAATTAGATATACTGTAAATCTACGACATATAATATTCCACTATTTGTATTGTGCTTTAATTTTTTTATTTAATTTATAATTTAATTTTATCAATAGTTTTATAATTATGTTTTACTTTTATTAAGATAAATAAATTAAAATTACTCACTTTATAAAAAATTATATCTGATATATTATATTATTTAGTAATTTTATGGATCGATTATTAATAAATATAATTCATTTCACTTTTGTCTTATCTTTGGCTTATATTCCATTTCTTAAATAACATTTTTGGTTCACTTTTTTTTATATATAAATGTTTTTTTTACAAAAATGTATAAATTATGATGAATAGTTTTATAAATATCAACTTTTACTTTCTTTTTCAAATTATTGTTTAAGATATATGCATACATTTTTGGGGATCAGGGATTGGGGGGAGGACTAAGGGGGATATTTTTATTAGCTTAAAATGATATTCACAAAAGGTGATAAATTTCTGAAGGGGGGGGGGTTTCCTTATGCTCCCCCCTTACCCCCCTGGCTACACCTATGGTCACGACCCCCTTAAAGTTGACGCCACTAAAATAAAGTAAAAATTAAAACCTGTCGTTACTGTTAATTTTTGCATTTCCTTTAGTTCCGTTTTAATATTTACATGATTAATATTTTTATAAAAATATTTTTTTTTACCATTTCTTTCCCGAAATTATCTTATATTCATAAAAATTGAGAGAAATTAATATTATAATTATATTTTAATTGATAATAGATTATATAATAAAAATTAAAATATTTAAAAAAAAATTTTTATTTTTCTATCTTCGTGGTTATATAAAAAAAAATTATATTTTTGATTTAAAAATTAGTTTTCAAATTTACACTTTTAAAAAATATTAAATTTATTAGCAAGGGGGGACAATCCTCCTTAAAATTTGGAAATGGGACTAAAATCAAAAAAGAAATTAACGGTATCCTCTAACATATTCACATCTCTTTTTGCCATTTCTTTTTATTAATTTTATAAATTAGAAATTACATTGACAGCTATCAAAAATGTGACGATCATTCTTAATTCTAATAAAGTTATTTCTTTTAATTCATAGAAACATTCAACAATTCTAAAATTCTAAAATTCTTAAAAATGTAAAGTAAGAACAATATTTTATTTGAAATAATTCTACATTTATGATTTATTCTATTATTTATTATGGACTAATTTAAAAGTTTACGCAAATTAACTATATAAAATTAATTTTTGCAATTTTATTTCTATATTATAATCACTTATAAAATTATAGTAATACTTTAAGCAAGTATTATTATATAGTATTTAAACTTTATTTTATATTTCATTATTATTTATCATCATTTTTTTTGAATATAAAATGAGCAAAAAAGTGTTAAGAAGTTAACATGATTTAATTTTGTTTGGCTATTTTTTGTTTGATATTTCAAAATTTTTTATATTTTTGGTTATAGTGTTTATTTTTATTAGAATAGGATAAATATTGAATATTGACATTAAAAATTAGTTAATTTATTTTTAAAGAAAATATGTTCTGCAAATCATGGCCCTGCTTGAAATTTTTAAAAATAATTTTGGTTTAGACTGAGTTAGGCCTAATATTTTTTTAAAAATAATCTGAGTTGGTCTTAAATTTTAAATAAGATATCATTAAATTTTATGAAACAAATTGATATGTTTTAATATTCTTGCAGGAAGCAAGGCATTAATATTTTTTTAAAAAAAATTATTAATTTTTTCTATATTTAAGTAAATTTGGACAATAGAAAAATGATCATTATTTTTATTTTGGATAAATTCTGGACAAATAAAAAAAATTTTGTTTGGGATTGAACTGAGGAGTACAAATTTTTCAAAAAAAATTTCTGACCAGTCTGGGCTTGAAAAATTAGGCCCAATGCAGATCACTAATTAGATAATAATAAAGAAATAACAAGTTTTATTTAACATTGGCAGTCATAAAAGTAGAAAATAATTAAACTTGTTTTAAAAAAACTAAGATAATTTTGAAAATTATTTAATGATTAAAATAAAATATAAAGCAATAATTGGTGGTTTTTCTTTTGAATACAAAATTTGCTATCTATGAAATTGATTATTTTTATTTTTGACACAATTTTATATATATCTTATGATTGGAATATGCATATGTGTATCTTCCAATTTTATATCTAGAATAGTTTATTCATCAAAACAATATCTTTTATAACAATATACAGCAGAGTTGTTAAAAGATACTTTTTAAATGGATCTAGATACAGATACAATGTCTAAAGTAATATCTAGATACAGATTATTTAATCAAAAATCTATCTAGATACAGATAGAGATACCACATTTTTATATCTAGATACAGGATCTAGATACTTGTATCTAGATTCTTTAACAACTCTGATATACAGTAACCTCACCCTCTTTATTTCTTCTTTCTCTTTTTTAGAAATTTTTTATCATTGCTTTTATCAAGGGGTCTATTATTTTTAATTTATTATTTTTCTAATATTGATAGGCATTAGTTTATAAAATAAAATATATTATTTTAAAAAGGCTGTAACTGATTTTTTAAATAAAATCAAACCTTATTTTGTTGACTAATTTTTTTTTATAAAGTTATAAAAGTTGATTATCATTTTTGTGTATTAGCTCTTTGTATTTGTTAAAGTTTAAAGTATCGTCCCAATACCAGTATGGGCCTCAAACTTATTTTATTTTCTCAAATTTCTACTCTGGTGCCTAAATAAAATTATCTGAATTTTAATATTAATGGCCTGCAGATCTCCAAATTTAAGGCCGATCTGGCCCAGAAATAAAAAAAATTATTTTTTCACTCGGATTTTATATGTTTATATTATTCGACCCGGGCCTTCAAGCTTGACTGCAAAATTATATATTTTGAAAATTTATACGTCTTATGTAGTTTTCATAAATTACCACTTAAGTTATCTAAAATATATTAAATCTTTTTTAAAATGATTAAAATTCCAATTAAATGTGGATAACTAATATAATTACAATACTAAAATTGAAAAATCCACACTGGAAAATGATTTTTTATTATTTTCGGGCTAGGTTGGTCTGAAATTTTGAGCGATGCAAGCCACTGATAATTAAATTCTAATAAAATCGATTTATTTATTGATTTATTTTTTGTGTCACCATTTAGAATAGTATATTTGATCGGTAAAATATTATCATTAACTAAAACGAATTTTTACTCCTGACTAAATTTTTAACACAGTTTATCCTATTTTAATAAACATATTTACACAAAATTTCATAAATTTTGAACACAAGGCCAGTGTTAAAAATTAACCTTTAACTTTTCGCGAAATGATAAAACACTGAGAAATTTTCAAGATTTATTATTTATATTCAAAATTGAGCAACGCGTCATTTTTACACATTTAACGTCATATCCTAATACCTTATAGAGATGTAGTAATAACAATTTGAAACATACCAAATCACTGTGCAAAATTTTATTTGATCTGAAATAGGGGTGTATTGATACCACTTTTTGGCCGATCCGATCCGATATCATATCTAATTTTGTATTCTTGTAAAGATACTAATGGTTTTAATTTGTAATATACTTTTTATTAGTATAACATCTATAATTTAATTATACCATAACTTATGTCATTAAATATATTATAATGATCAGTTATAGTTTATATTCAATTCTATTGCCTAAAAGTATATCACTTTTATATAATAAGTAACAACATTAATCTATATACATAATAAGTAATAAGCAAATATATTATGAAATTTAAATAAATATTTAAAATAATATTTAACAACATTAATCTATATACATAATAAGTAATAAACAAATATATTATGAAATCTAAATAAATATTTAAAATAATATTTAACATTAATATATCGAAGATTTCTTTTTAAAAATATCAAAATTTCCAATTTATCAGAAATCAGCCTGCGGTGATGGTAACTGTCAATATCACCAACTTCACTAAGAACAGATTCTAAAGAGATTATCGCACACTTTTATAAACAGAATGCGCAAAAAATAACAATATGGCAGAATGTTTATTAATTAATTATTATTATTAAAAAAATATGGATTTCGATTTTATTTATAAAAATAAATGATTTTTAGATATAACTTTTTTTTAAAAAATTTATAACATTTTATTTTTGTTAAGGACGCCATTTTATATCGGATCGGATCTGCAAATTTTATAATATTGGCCGATAGCCGATATGTATAATAGGTGACATATCGGCCCGATCCGATCCGATAAAAAATATCGGTACATCCCTAATCTGAAATATGTTCCTGAAAATAGCTATTTTTTATTCCGATTTATATTGGAATGATCTAAGAATCCGGTTTAGAAAAATAATACAGTGTATAACATTTCTCAAGGTACCAACAGTTATTTCAATTGAACTCGAGCACTTTAAGATTATAAGATTTTTGGTACTGAAATAAAAACATGAAAACTGGGAACATAAAAAGAATGTTTGTAAGCGAGTCATAGTGTATTTATGCAAAAGAATCACAAATATACAAGAATATAATTCATTATATTTTACGACTAAATCTGTTTTCATGTCAGAACTTTTATTATTTTATGTATTTAGAGATTTAAAGTAGAGATGGGCGCGGCCTGTAGAAATTTTCTATTCGGTTGTTAGTCCCCGCCCATAATTATATTTTTATCCAGCCCTGCCCTTAAAATTAATTACAAGTTGATTGTAAGCAATTTGCCCGTATCGGCCCTAAAATCTTCTTGCGGGCTGGAATGTTCCAACTTCTTATTTGAAATAAATAAAATATAAAATAAATACTATAAATTGATTTTTCGATATTATTTATAAAATAAATTTCCCTATGGATTACATTAAAAAGTTACCCACTGCCTCACTGATTCATATCATGTTTTTACTAGTTCTGAATATGCTTTTTTCCCTCCCAAGTAACGCCATTATGTTACATCGAAGAGTTAAGTTAAAAGGTTTTTAAAAACAGAAATCTCCCTCTATCACAAAACAATATTTTGAGCTTGGATACATATCTTAAGCTACCAAGGATCATACTGAAATAAACCGGCTATTATTAAGTTTCACCCTACATCGTTAAAATTGATAAATATACATTTTTCCCTTGGAGGTTAATAACGAGGTTATTACTTATTTGTTAGTAAATTAATACAAAATAAGAATATTTTGGTAATTTGTTTAAATTTTATTCGGCTTTTGATGTTTATGCAATTCCTTATTTATTATTGATTTTTTAATTCTGACTTTCATCTCCCCTTTTTAACCTCTTAAGTTCTCTTTGCGCAAAAAAAGATATATTGTAATCATATAAATATATATAAGAGATCTGCAGAGGTACCATTTGCACGACCCGGCCCGTATTATTTAAAAAAAAAATTCGGCCCGGCTTGAAATTTTTTAAAATATATTACATTTTTTAAAAAATTTTATGGCTAATAATGGCGATTTAAAATATTCGGTTTTATAGGGCCCCGCCCGGGTATTTAAAAAAATTGTTTTTTTTACCTGGCCCAGGTAAATTTTAAAAAATTAAAAAGTGGCCCGGGCCGGGAAGGTCTGCAGGTCTCTGGTATTTATATCGGAGAAAAAAATCTTTTCAATAATATTTATGAGGTGGCCACTTAAAAGGCGATTATATTTTGGTTATAGAAAAATTTAATTAAGCATTTTAAATATGATTTTAGCAGTAAAGGACCCACCTAAAGGGAGTCAAGATAAGGTGATTACACCTATGAAGGCTTCGCGATTTTCTCATTAAAGTAACAAAAGTATACTAGGTATCATAATACTTAGTATAAACAACTTTACAAATTTTCTATTACATTCTTTTTTTTTAATTATAAATTTGTCCTCATACTTATCTTTCATTGTCATTGATATTTAAAAAAAAAATTATGAATTATTTGGAAACATGTTTCATTATATGAAATTTTAATTCTTTTAGGGCAAACAAAAAATATTAGATTTTGATACAAATATGAGTTCAAATAAAAAAAATTAACACGATTTTTTTATCAATTGATTACAAAAAAAATTATTAAGTCTATAAATAATCTGCCCCGCCTGCACTCACAAATTAATTTTTTTATATTA